GGTTTGATTGATTTCTGCATGCAGAACAGGGTGAGGAATGCCATTTTCCCCTTGCAAAATGTAGTCATAGTAGTAGTGCTGTTTTTAAATTGCATTGTCTTAAATCTGCTGTTCACTGCCTTGAGTCCCTGTATTGGGAGAAAGGCGGGATACAAGAAAATAATAGTAATAATAATAATTTCTTTACATTTTCTTTATAGAACATACTTTGCAATCTTGAAGGCTTTTGTTGTTAAATCTAAAATTAATTTTCTAAATCATGTATCATTAACCATTAATCATTTTGTGGTTCCTTCTCTTTTGGGCATCAATTGGGGCTGGGGTTTGACCCTTATTTCTTGAAGCAACCACACCTCCTTGGCAGTCTACAATCTCTTTATTATTTCTGCCTTATTCTCATTGATTACAAGGACTGTCTAAAAATGGCAGCATCAGGTGATGGACAATAACTCCATCTAAACTCAAGGTCTAAAAGATTACCCTGGTAGCTCTTGTGAGGGAAGAATATCATATAACTGAACTTAAGATTCTAAATGTAGCTTCTCTCCTGTTCTGTTATATAATCTAGTATAGATAATCTCCACGTATGTTGGTGTTTCTAAATATTTCAGAGTCTAAGGGGCTGTTGCTTTTGATATGGGGAGATATATTAAATATTAGAGCCTGGATTCACATTGGCCAAACGTGTCTGCATTCAGTTTTGGCCTTGTACTGTTGTTGTTGTTTGCCTTCAAGTCATTTCTGACATATGGATACCCTAAGGTGAACCTATCATAGGGTTTTATTGGCAAGTTTCTTCAAGGGGGGGGTTCCCATTGCCATCCTCTGAGGCTGAGAGACTGTGACTTGCCCAAGGTCACCCAGTGAGTTTTCATGGCCAAGTGAGGATTCGAACCCTGCTTTCCAGAGTCATCAGATCCTGAAACCACTACAGGATCAAATGGAGAAATGTATTGTGCACAAGTGGTGGATCACAGTTCTTCAGAAAATAGTGATGGATCAAAAAAATCACAGAATTTTGGAATTAACCATGGACATTGTATTGTGCCAAGAATAGTGAGGGGAAATAAATTTGAGATATGTGTATGTATGTTTGTAGGAATCAAATACAAAATACTTATTTACTTGATTGATTTCTTTTTACTTTGGTATTGAGGCAAAAAACTTCCTAGAGTGACAGTCAGACCTCCGTGCCCATAGTTTCTGCATCCATGATTTAACCATCCATGGCTTGCAAATATTCAAAATGTAATAAATAAATAAATAAATGATTTTGCCATTTTATATGAGAGACACCTTTTTACCATGCCATTGTTTATAATGGGACTTCAGCATCCACAAATGTTGGTATCCATGGTGGATCCTGGAAACAAATCTCAGCGGATACCAAGGGCCCACTGTACAAAGATCACTCTCTGCCCTCTTGTTTATACATTTTAGTGTTTTAATATACTAAAAGAAAAGGGATTGGGATAGAGGAGGACAAAACAAACTCTGAAGCTAGTTTTTAGTTGACTCCAATGGTTAGTCATATGAGTTGACATGTACTTGTTAAGTCAACCCTTGTGTTAGTGTCATAGATTTAATAGTTCTATTCTAGTGGGACTAGCAATTGGATTTCGTTCAAAGTTTGATTTTATTTTAATTAAATGTGACTATTAAAACAAATGAATCTCAGGAAGTAAGCTCAAGTCTATGAATGCTCATGCTGTCAACTTCTGTCTTTCATTTAGTCTCAAAGGTGCTGCAAGATCCCTTTGTATACTATTAAAACAAAGTTTTGTCAGTATATTTTTGCCCCAGGCTGTGTAAAATGTCTCAGGTCCATGCAAGGGGTTAAAGAGGAAATGCTGACTCAGAGGAAGCTGATGCAATTTGAGCATGACGATGAGGCATAGCAGGTCCAAACTGCACTGTCACTGTGGACACACGACAGGAAGCTGATGAAACACTAGCAGGGGGTTGAATCAGAATCCTAGTTGTGTTTGTGTATATAGGGATGAGTGCTCCAGTATACATTGTGGTGGTGCGGATGTCGGTTGATGTCGGAGCATTATGTCAGTTGGTGTAAATATTGCTGTACTGTGCTTGTAAATACTTTGCTGCAACCAAGATTAAAAATCCTCTTCAGAAGAATGCAGCAGTCGTGAGTGACTTTCCAGACTTGGCAATAGCATCTGTTTCCTAGCTGGCAGCCTTCAGGGTATGGACTCAGTTGTTCCCTCTGCGCTAACAAGTTTAACAGTAATAAATAAATAAATAAATAAACAGGGGGGAAATCCTGAAGCCAACAATGCAACTCAAGAACACAAGTTGCAAACTGAAATGATAAGGGCAGCAGAAAATAAACCTGTTTAGCAACCCTTGGTTCAGAACAGACACAAAACTATAACCATCATTTGTAACTGACAGGGAACAAGAAGGCAGATTGCTTGGGAATTTAATACGCACATCTTGGGAATTGTTATAAGGACTATGACAGGAAAATCAGTATATATGTGTATACATTTGCATATGCAGGTTAGTGGTGTGGTGAATCCACGCCAGGTTTTGTTCCCAAATTTAAAGGAGCTATCCAAGGTGCTGAACAAATTTTGAGGACACGTTCCTTTAAAGCATGGGTGGACAATTGGGGAAGACTAGGGAGGCATGTTAGCCCTTCAAAAGAGCTTGGTGGGCTCCAGCAAAATTAAAAATTATATATATATATTCTCAAATGCCCCCCAAAGCCCTGTAGGGGACACAGGACCATGTTTTTGGAACTTCCTGGGTCTCCAGAGGGCATTTTCAGGAAATTTTAGGCAAACATCTTTTATAAATTTTTAGTTTTGGCCCTCATGAGATCCAGTGGGGCTTCAAATATGATGAAATGCCCTCCACACTTCCGAGATATAATTTGTGGGCTTTGGAGGCAGTTTTTTGAGACCTCTAGGGGGGCATGAAGGAAACAAAAATGACCCTGCATGGAGGCCACATGCAATCCAGAAGATGCACTTTGGTCACCCCTGCTTTAATGTCTCCAATGAAATTCCAGAGCAAATATTCTGCTATCACTGACATGGAGGCCACTGGGTGTCTTAGAGCTGGGAGGCTAAAAGGCCCTGGCTTTGTTAAGAGTACCAAGTGTGTAGCCACAGACAAGACGAGAATTAGGACCGTGCTGCTGCATTCCTCTTAATTTCAGTGGCATTCTTATTAATGTTTAAGAGAGAGGATGGGACTTGATAATCATGTCAGGGTGTCTTTTATATGAGGTGTTATGCTTTTAAACTTTTAGTTATGCTTTTAAACTTCTGTACATTTTAATGTAATTTTATACTGTATGTAATTTTATGTAATTTTATACCTACCAAGGGAGATCAAAGAACAAAATGCAAAGGCAGGCTTACTGCTGAACATAAAGAAAACAAAAATAATGACCACAGAGAACTTACACACATTCAAACTAGACAATGAGGAAATAGAAATAGTAAAAGAGTTCTCGTATCTTGGATCAAACATTGATCGCAATGGGGACTGCAGCCAGGAAATCAGAAGATGATTAAGAATGGGAAAGGAGGCTATGAAAGAACTAGAAAAGATCCTAAAATGCAAAGACATA